CCCTCGATTCTCTCCACGCATGCGGAAGACGAAAACGTAAACAAGGACGCCCAATTATAACGGTACATTTCTCAAGTAGGTCAACTTTCGTGTATCGCTTGACTATACAATCGTGAAAAAAATTGTGAAAATATAAAGTGAATCACCAGAAGACGATACTAACTAAATTCTTAGCAATGTTTATGCATTGCACGATAAATATAAATTAACTTTTTTTTTCAACCACAGTAAACATTTGAATATATTGACTGGAACATTGTAGCAGTGGCAAATCATTTTCATGCTAGATTAATAGAATTAGATAGGCAGTAAATATAATGGAATTCATCGCTTTTCAGTAATTAGGTCAATAAAATTGATATAAGCATTATTTACTGTTTCATTTAATATAGAAACTGACACTTTAATGTACCAGAGAGGTCCATTATTGAGTTGTCGGCTTTCAATTAAACACTGATGCCAAAAAATTACCTCCTTGCTCTCCGAACCGAAGCAGTTGATCCCGATTTTCTAACTGTCGAATAAATATTTCTGAGAATTTAATGCCAACTATATAGTCATTAATGCTTATATCATTTAGCTATCTGAATGTCAATACTATATCAAACTTCGAGCAAGCTAAAGGAAAGATGGCACAAGCGGATTATCTAGTCTTGAAGCAGCGCATTCCAAAATTGTGGCGAAATGTAGCTAAGATAAGAGGAGTAATTGCGTCAACACTGAAGCAATTGACGCAGCACTGGACCACCCTGACCACTGTCTACCAAGATTGGCGCAGAGAGGCGCGGGTTCGATCCCAGCTCTGTGCGTCAGTTTCTGGTCAGAATCGGCGAGGAGGCCGGGCGGTTAAGCAAAGCAGAATTGTAGCAGTGAGTTGCGAGTTCGAGACCGCAAAATGCTATAAATGTTCTGCGATGTTAAGAATCGGCAACAGGCCTACGGCCTACTAAACGCAAAAACCGCTATATTATTATAAGATAAAATTTGTCATGTAGCCGAAGCCAAGCATCACAGAATAATTAGTTTACTGACAATTCGAACCCACAATTTACTTTCTAATCACATTGTCATTCAGTCGATCTCGTGCAGAAATTTTAAAGCTTGCTCTTGGTTTAACAAGCAACTCTTACATGATCTTGGCACTTTCAAAAGCGAACCTACTGCCACCTTAAAGTGATATTACAGTAAACAATTTCATTGTATACGGAGTGATGGTATAAGTAAAATTTATTCTCTGAAATCGATTGCAGTGACCAGAAATCTTGTTTTTTTTCGTTTAAAGTTGGGAGCTTTGTTAGTTAGTTTGTTAAGTGGCCACATGCTTACTAGCGCTTCAGTTATTTAGCTATCTCGCACTAGAAGTAAAGACGAATATCACCCAAGAGGTGGAAGGTCTCAATTAGCAAAAGTTTTTCAAATAAAAAATTCTTCATAACCCACAAAGTTTCAATTGTCCAGCCCGCTGAAGTTGGCTCCAAAGAAGCAGCGTTTGCATCTCAAAGAGACGAAGTGACAAGGAGGGACAGGTGAAAGTAACAGAAACGAAGACACTCGAAGAAGAGGTCGCTTACACGGGACGTCGGCCACCCGCACGAGAGAGACTGAGAAGGGAAATGTAAGGAAACCTACCTACATAATAACTTAATGTAAGGAATCCTACCTACATAATAACTTAATGTAGGGAATCCTCCCTAAATAATAACTTAACCCCACAACTGATACAGACAACGCGAGCTCAGCGGTGGGGCGCTCAGGAACAATACCCCTTGTTAGCTACTACCGTTTCTACGAGATACCTACATGAAAAACAAAAACATAAGATCATATAATTGCGACATACTTCGTACTTTATGCAGATAAAAATCTACTTGATAAGTATTGATCTGGCTAATGCCTCTTCTTAAGGCAATACCTTACATCTTGTTAGAAGAAAACCGTGATTAACGAAAAAAAGTAAATTTTAAAGTCTACTTCGGTGCAACCCACTTCTGGAGCAGCATGGAAACATTCATATGGAAACCATAAATTTATTGCTAAAGTAACCTGAACTTACTTCTTATAGAAATAGCGGCTTCCTGAGTGGCAGATATCGTAGAATTGCGAGCAGTAAACAAAGGTAAAGCTGGCAGAATAGGAAAAAAAATTACTCCTCTGAAAAAGCGAGTATTTTTTACAACACATACAGTATAAAAACGTTAATAAATTGTTGGCAACTAAGTGAAATCAACTATAAATCGTTGATTTCACACAATTAGAATTATTTTTTAAATTTAACCTACACAATACAGTCAATAAGTAACTCAAAAGACCTCCACAAAATTACAATGATTTGATCTTGCGTGCACAGTTGAAATTAAAATTTGACGCTTTTTTTCGGAAATCTATTGCCATTGGAAGATAAGTCAGTCAGTATTAAAACACGCAGGCTTTCGCAAGTAGTGAATTACATCATCCTCCTGATAAAAATTGGTAACCATGACTTTTGCTTGGATTAAATAAAAAATCAATCATGTCAAAACAAATAGTAATTTAGTAGTCTTCTCTTTAAAATCATGGTCTTTTTTCTGTAATTTTTGTGTAACAAAATCACACATACTTTAGAAAACCAACAACTCGATGAACACCCTTACATCATTGCAAAAACATGTAGGTACAACATATAACGAATGACATTTAATCGTGATATATTCTTCTACACATCCAATCATGAAGTATTTTTAACGCGGTAATTTTTTGATACACTAGAATACCATGGATCAGGATTTGAAAGGACGTACATGTTTTATGATGTTTACAGACATGAAAACAAGTGATGGGCAAAATGGGATGCCATTTACACGGTAAATTATATTTTACTTAAATATTGCTCTAGAACATTCTGTTTTCAAAATGTAACAATAATTTGAAGTGAAGAGTAGACTAGATATTAGAACAAATAAATATTTTATGAAGAAAAAATTACTTTTCAGAGGCAGAAGTCATTCTCAGAAATATTAGGGAAAATTATTCGTGGAAGGATTTACACCAGAACAAACGATTTATTGAGATANAACTTAATTAGTTTCAGTTAATTAGAAACATCACCGTAGCTAAGACTTAACATCAATTCTATTAATACAACGCATATTTATCACAATTTCCAAATCATTAAAGCTTGTATTGTCCTCGCAGCCATTACTTGGCCGCAACATCTTCCCTCTCCCACAAGCTGAAACGCCGCGCCTGCTAGACTAATTTTAATGACTATAACTCCGACTTGTCTTCAGAAGGCGCTTGGTCTGGGGTGATGGTCTCTCCATAGGGCTCCTGGAGGCAGGCAGCGTCGCTAAGCATGGCAGGACACAGGCTCTGCTGCAGGTCCCCCAGGCCAGCACCAGCTGATTTACTGAAGTACCAGGAGCTGATGCGCTCCTCCTGCTCCTCCAGGAATTGTTCGCACTGCCAATCAAAGTTGCTGTTAAATTGGTTATTAGTACAGGTTTCTATTAAATGGCTTACTGTCTCATCAAACGGTCGTACTACAAACGATCCGGTCACTATTTTTTTTAATACCTTTAGTCTTCATGCTTGCTGTAATAATGAGATATCGTCTACTTTAACTAACAACCAAGGCATTAAACAGACAAGGCGGCTAGAGGCCCGAGACACGCTCGCACGAAAGTAAAGTGCACAGAGGTATACTAAATCATCCTAGTTGAGGACTGAAGTCACTTCCCTAGACATTTTCTTACTTACTCGAATGTTTTCATGAAAAACTCAAACTTACTTTAACGATCTAGCTCATAAACGACAAATATCTCGCTTCGATATTTGGGCAGCATTTATCGGCGGCCCCGACCAAGGCAGAACATTTGAGAGTGTAAGTGTGACTCACTTGTGTCTTGAGGTGAGTCACAGAGTATACTGAACGTGACTCACTTGTGTCGTGAGGTGTGTTACAGAGTGTACTGAGCGTGACTCACCTGTGTCTTGAGGTGTGTCACAGAGTGTACTGAGCGTGACTCACTTGTGTCTTGAGGTGTGTCACAGAGTGTACCGAGCGTGACTCACTTGTGTCTTGAGGTGAGTCACAGAGTGTACCGAGCATGACTCACTTGTGTCTTGAGGTGTGTCACTTCAGCTGAAGGCTCGTCCCAGAGCTCAAATGGGATGCCCAGTTCCACCTTCACGCCTTTATTGCTATAAAAAAAAGATTATTAATTAATTGACCTAAACATTTTAGCAAATATGCTGAAACTTTAATCATATACCTATAGTGACAGAAAAATTTCATTGGATTAAAAATCTGCAATTTCTTCAGCTCAGTACTGTATTTGATAATGAATCATGAGCATTGTTTCTTTTGTGCAAAATTATTGTAGGTTATACCATGAGAAGAAGTGCATTAATTATGCATTCAGTAATCATGAAAAATTCTCACATGAATGGAATTTTTTCATAACATCAATGTTAATCAATTATTCTAGTCCTTGATACTGGATCAATACAGGGCTCCAACGGAAGGCGTCACTCACACAAGGCCATGCAGAGTACGGAAGGTCTGACTCATCATCTTGGCCCAGCGTGTGGAGTCGAGACGTTCCTTGTGCACGCGGTAGTCCTGCATGCCTTCACATACGCTCTCCAACACTTCCACCAGCCGCAACTCCCTGTCATAATATTACTAATAACTCCCGGTCATAATAATCTTCAAATCCCTTTTTTCAAACATTTGTGATAGCCACTGTGTGCTAATTAGGGTTTTTAATTTTTATCCACAGTGCCTAGACTATAGACACGACACAAGATTACTCAATAAAGTATAATATTTGGCTAGTACCTATATACTTTTTAAGTGTTATTTTTGTTTCGTTCACCACAAAAAAAATATGATAAAAATTACATAAAAATAAATAAATAAAATGAAAATTAACCCATTGTTTCTACTGAACAATATGACATGGCAGCCCTTACTCAACCTACCTGCTGCCTAATAACATTCTAACAATTGAAACTCACGATTTGTTGTACTTGGTTTTCTTCTTCTTGGAATCAATATTGTAGCCAGTCTCTATCACATCAGACGAGTCTGTCTTCTCAAGCATCTCTCCAATCTCTTTGGTGACAAGCTTACAAACTGAAATAAATTCAATAATTTTAATGATAAAAAATTACAAAAAGCTGTTCAGAAAAATTAACAAAAAGTTCATTCTAACATATACATTTTTTGATTAGTCACTGAAATTAGCTCCAAAGGATTGGATCGAACATTCAACACTTAGTAATTATTTGGAAAAGAATATAACAATAAAGTTGATTGTATACATTTCAGTTACTAAATATGAATTGCTCTGACCATTGACAGAGTATCAACAGCTAAGATAACACTACAAATTGAACAGAAAAATGAGCTTCTTTCTAAAATTTTTTTTTAAAATCTTTTTGTTATTGTTTGTGTTTGAAGCCAAACAACTGGAAGAATATTTTTTTTTTAATTTAAAATGCAAAACCTTCAAATATTGAGGTTGAACTGATAATTAAAAAGTAAATAACTTTACTTACAATTAAAAAGTTAAAGTTTATATTGAATTTTAAGTTTTGTACTTAGAGAGACATTTCCTTCTGAAGATGGGTTGAACAAAAATCTTTAACTCTGTCTTTCAGCTGAAAATTATCAACTGAATTTTGGATGGCATGATCTTAAGTGATGGAATTAGGAATGCCAGGATTTGGGAGAACAGGATTTGGGAGAACAGGATTTGGGAGAACAGGATTTGGGAGAACAGGATTTGGGAAAACAGGATTTGGGAGAACAGGATTTGGGAGGACAGGATTTGGGAGGACAGGATTTGGGAGAACAGGATTTGGGAGAACAGGATTTGGGAGAGACAGGATTTGGGATGACAGGATTTGGGAGGACAGGATTTGGGAGGACAGGATTTGGGATGACAGGATTTGGGAGGACTGGATTTGGGTGAGGCAACTTAAATGGCAGGAAGAATTAACCAAGGCAATGGTGCCCTAACAACCAATTCAAATATAATCTCTCAACCTCTATTAACAGTGCAGAGGAACAAAATATGAATATTTAAAAAACTCTCAGGAGAATAATTTTATTAATAATGTAAACAGCTGCTAATATTTCTCACACAGCATTTCAATCATACACTTTTGTGTTAACAAAGATTCATGCAGAATGAGCTTTACATGAGAAAAAAATGAGAGTATATATTGGATTTAAAACTTCAACAATACCTTAAAATCAGCAGATTTCAACTGTTAATTTATGATTTTTGCACTAAAAATACCATACACTGATTACTATTTATCAAATTAACTGAAATACTATACAAACTAGATAGAAAATGATGCAGATTTAATTCTGGTTTCAGCATGTGTCAAAAGTAGTACGGTACTTTGTATCTGCTTGTATAGTTACTCACCTTCACATTGTGTGGCATATTTAACTCCATATTTTTCTTCTTCTAAACTAACACCTTTCTCTTCAGCAGTGATGCTAACAGCCAAAAATATGAGGAAGAAGACTTGAAGTAGAACAAGCTTGAAATCCATAGTTTCTGACTAAAAAGAACATCAAGCTATAAAACTTAGAAAGTAAATTTTGAAAGAGCACACTTCTAAACAAATTAACATCCAATATACCTACAACACAGCAAATGATAGGTCAAGAATTAGGCTTTAGGCTGGATGCTAAATTCATTTACCCAAATGTTACAAGGTAGGATGTTCACAGATGACAGTCGCCAGTTGCCACAAAACTTCTCTATAGCACACAATTTACAATAGATTTGTCCAATGGCAAATGATTTTAACCAACTTTGTGTATGTTATGACCAATAAGGGTGACTGGGTGAGAGATATTGATCAACAATCAACATGGATGCCAATTTCAGGTCAAGATGACTTGATGGAATGCTGAAAAAGATAGCATATCTTCAGTTTCAAGGAATTTAAAAGCAAAGAAAATACCACAAAAATTCACCATATCTTTATAAGAGAAAATGTTTTTAGCGTCTGCTCCTTTTGTTTCAAATTAAATGGGGTCCAAACATTGATAAACCACGGTTTTTGCATTTGTTCTACTTTCCCAGCCATTCACTCTGAATTTGAATTGTTGTGCAATATCTTTTCACAAAATGGCTTTCCATTGCACCTGGTGTTCACCCAAATTAAAAAGTTCATGTCCAAGCAATATAGGTACCTACTGCAGTCGTTCCCAAGTGTGACAATAGGAAGGTTGTTTACTGTTCTTTTCCCTACTTTGGACCCGCATCTGAGACTATGTCAAAGGAATTAAAAGTTCTATTTGCTAAATATCTTCCGGATGTAAATCTTCATGTGTTGCTGGTTAACAATTTTAGAATCGGCTCGTTTTTCAGGTATAAGGATACCCTACCTGTTCTTATGCGATAGTCACTAGTTTACAGATATAGTTGTGCGCAATATGCATCAGCGTACGTTGGTATGACGGCACGCAATTTCTATACTAGGCTGGCTGAGCATAAGGGCAGGAGATGCGCATCAGCGTACGTCGGTATGACGGCACGCAATTTCTATACTAGGCTGGCTGAGCATAAGGGTTGGAGTTAGTATAGAACAGGGAACCTACTTGCACATCCACCTCATTCTGCTGTACGTGTTCATGCCAAGCAGTGCAACACCTCTGTATCTGATAGTGATTTCAAAATTCTAGATTCCGCATCCGGTGTTAGTGATCTACGAATTTTAGAATCCCTGTATATATTAAAACAGAAGTCTAGTCTGAATGCTGCTTTTAGCTCCTTTTCTCTTGAAATAGTAAGTAGATAGTCCGTTTGCTAGCAATAATTTCATGTCTTAGTTATTTATTTTCCGTTTTGAAACCTGACAGTGCATTTTACTTTACTAATTGATTTATTTCTGTTTCCAGGACTGAACTTTTTCTGAACAGAATTTTGTGTTATGAACTGATGATGGAGCTGGACTCCAAAATGTTTTATCTTATAAAGATATGGTGAATTTTTGTGGTATTTTCTTTGCTTTTAAATTCCTGGTTAACTTGCAATTCAAGCAAACAAGTGATTTTAATACTTCAGTTTCAAGTTTCAACCCTTTCTACAGCTCAGCTTTTGCTTCATTTCTAAGGTTAAGATAAAGAAAAACACTACACTTCAACACTTGTTGAAAATCATCTACAGAAAAGTCATTTTTAACTGGGATTTTTGGAAAATTCTGCCTGATATTCCTGGTTGGTTAAAAGGCAAGGCATTAAATCATAGTTTCTTACATACAAAATGCAAAAATTTACTATTTTATTGTTCAGATTTTCAGGTAGCCTAGTTACCCATCCCACTGTACTTTAGATAATGTTAAGTTTTATAATCCAACAAAATGTTTTTTTGTGAATTTTTGTCCAGTGTAGTGGGTACAGTTCAGACTTCAGAGTTATATGATTGGAGCAGAGAGCAAGAGGTGCTGGTTTGAGCCCACTTCCCGGCCACAAGTTCCCAGCTCTGGCCTCTGTGTGCCAGTTTCTTGTCAGAATCGGCAAGGAGGCTCAAGGCTGGGCAGTTAAACAAAGTAAATTGTAGCAGTGAGTTACAACAAGCTTCAAAATGTGAATGACATGTTCTGTGATGTTAAGAATTGGCAACAGGCAACAGCCAAAAAGCAAATGGCCTATTAAATGCTGAAACCGCTATTATTACATGAGCTGCTGACTGCCGAGCGCTGAGCAATCATGATTCATGAAATTAAATAATCATAATTAAACCAGAAAGTTACTATAGGCAAAAGACAATTAGATTAAACAGTACCAAATTCTCAGCAAAATAATGCACAACTTCATAGGTATATGAGCAAAATCTACAATTTTGGGAATTTGGGTAGGCTATGCTATGAAAACTACAATTCCAGTTCCAGCAAAAGGTTTCAGCAAATGAGTCAAATTTTTTTTGTTTATGGACAATTCAAATTGTTTTTCTTATTTGTCTTTATAGTACCTAGTTACCTACAGCCCTACTAGGCTACCTAGTAGGTAAGTAGCATTGCAATGGATGGAGCTGATCCAGCCTGATCGGCCTGGTCCAACCGTCCAAATACCCTGGGCCCTGGCATGACTACTGATGATGTTGATGTAGAGTGTAGACTCTTGACTGTTGACAGGACAGAATTCAGTTCGTTCCTAGAAATTGTCAACATGAAGATGGAGCAACCAAAAAAGAAAAATACCTATATAAAACTGGGTGCTTGGACTGCTTGCGAGAAGCTACAGGCTGGTTGTTCGACAATCTACGATAAGGCCCTAGTAAATAATATGCAATTCAATGGCATCAAGAATCAAGATCGAAGCAATAAGATATTACAGAGTTGGCAACTTGGCGTAGACCGCAGACTGCAGAGGCCACGAAGGAGCATCATCTCTATTTGGCATCGGACGGCACAGAAGTCGGAAATCAACTTGTACGTACGACATCTCGGAACATTGACGAATTCCGATGATCACACTGAGGAAATAGTTGTGCTAGGCAGACAACGGATAAGGTGAATTTGGTGGACATTCTGAATGAGAAAAGCGTTCAGAAGCCTAGCTCGTCAAGCGACTTGCATGCAACCTTCCGTGCAGCACCAGGCCGCGTATCGAATATAAAATAAATTCTGGAATCTGGGGCATCGTTGAATTACGTAACTTTTAGCTCAGAGCAATTCGACGCAAGTTGTTGTTGTTATCCGTTTTGAGGTGACTGGAGTTGCTCTCAACAGGGCACTTGTTGCACCTGGATTAATCAAAAGATCTTCAGCAGTTTTCCATTAGGTCAGAGTGGTGTCACAAGGGGGTCTTGCTGTTCTTTCAGAGGTTACTTAGGCGTCCTGTACTATTGATGTACGCAACTGTGGCCTTTATTATTGCAAATTGGGCACTTCGTGGGAAGTCTTCCCCACCCAGCAGGTCACGGACTATAAGAGGATCTATGCCATAGGTGGCCACTGCATTTTCCAGCTGCCGCCGAGCTTCCCGATGTAGTCCACAGATGAGTAGGTAGTGCTCATTTGTATCTTCTACGTTGCAGTTGCCACACATTGGAGAGGGTGACATACCTAAGCGAAATAAATACGCACCAAGGCCTACATGGCCCAGGCGGAATCTTGCCAGGACTACCGCAGCTCTACGGGTAGGCACAACCAACCATGGGCGCAACCACCCATGGAACAGGAGAGATTCGACGCAAGGGCGATACACAGACGTGTTGGCGGTGAGCACGATATTCACTGCAAAGCTCCGGCGCGCTCAGTCCGAATGGTTCAGAATTTTTTCGCGAGCTGGCGCACGATGCTAGGCCATACCATACTGTAGCAGGCCGTTTCTCTGTGGGCTGATTGGTCAACTTTAATGGTATGGATGAGATGTGTCTGGTAGCTTGCGGTTGATAATATGATAGTCCTTAATTGTTTCTGAACGAATGGGCGAATGGCTCATGAATGTAGTAGGTACATTCAAAGCAGGGCATAGATGGTCTCCGACATGCATTCGCAGCCAATGGAGCAGCAGGGGCTGCTCTCGGTCCTGCGTAAATCTGACCACATGTTAATTCTGATCATTATCCACTTCACACCTTCGATTCGTCGACCAACAAAACCATTTCTTGTCATCAATCCAGAAATTTGAGCGAAATAAGGTAGGCTTCTATGATCTACATAAATTTGAATTGTACTTAAGTGGCAGGTATAATTTCCTTCGTCTGACGACGGATTAATTACTTTAAAAGAAATACTGAGCCGCAGGTTTCGATTGTTCAATTATTTACAAAATTTTTTTAATCAGTCTTAAGTACAAATCCATAACTTTGCCATGTTATTTGAAGTTGAAAGTTAATGTTTCTAATGTCAAAGCGAAACTCGATAACCCGAATAGGACAAAAACAACATTAAATTCAATTCACTATTTTTACTCTCGAATCAGTTCAAGCGAACACTGGAGCTATCTGCAGACCGGGATTAACTCGCACTAGCAAGTCAATAGATAACGCTAGGATCAGGACATCACCGAATGTAAACCTTGCAGAATCCTTCAGTTGATTCAACAATAACGCTATGAGCGGTCATTTGAAGTAAACTTCAACTCTCTTCAGTCAGTACCAATCGTACACTGAGCCTTAAATTACATCGAGATACGAAACAAAAACTATACAGAAATAAAACAGTTTTTATGATTTGCGATATTTTTTTTTTAAATCGGCTCACGCGTTAAGACGATTTTTTTTTTTTGTAGTTTCCTTCAATTTGTTAAGAGCTAGAAATGTGCACAAACAGTTGCCAAGAATGAGCACCAAACTTTTAATGACTGAAATTAAAAGCCATAGGATAGATAAATCGATCGTCTGTCGCGCTCGACGTCAAAAAAAGTACACAAAATAAACAGAATCCAAAGAAGTTTCTCAAGACAAATAGATGAACTGGCTAGAGCTCTTCATATGACCAAAAGCAGTTGTAATCGAAGTCAGAGATTGAGATTATGACCAATCCTCAGAATTAGAGGTAATTACTTACCAAAATTTCAGCGCAATGTTGTTAAAAGATAATCCCCAAATCGTTTTTATGATACATTTTTTTCATTAAAGCGAGAAATTGATCAATTTTAATTGCATACAATGTTATTTTATAATTTTTTCTGAAATTGGAATGATTGTATGAGGCCAAAAATTTACAAAAAAAAAATTCAAATTGACCCTACGACTCCATGCGCTACACAATAAAATAAGGACAGCATCACCAAATGAATCAAATTGATAATTAAAAATCATCAAATATACATACAAATAGAACACAAATGTTTTATTGATATCAAACCAGATCTCATTTGAGCCATCCAGGGATCTTCAGCTTACACATCCTGCATAATAGCATTCTATTTTTCCAATGTTTCTTATAACATTGATGCCTAATATTGTCAAGTTATTTAATTGACGAATACCTGACATGTACAACAATAGTGATTCTATTGAGTGAGCTTTTCTATGATAAAAATAATGAATAATACTGACTCTCTATTGGCCAGATCACGTACAAAAGTGATTCTGTTTTGGGTGATTCTCTAGCAGAAAGATCACGGATTTTTCATCTTATGATTCATAGTAAAATCAAAGGCGTACAATTTTCTGAATTAATTTAAGGAAACGAAACCTATTCGCATTTATTATCAGGTAAAATTCTGATATTTTTCCTTCTGAACGCAATCGTTCAACCTGATTTTCAAACATCAGATCAATCAAGAAAGTATGAATTTTTCTCGCTAGCTGGTACTGTAACTGAAACATTAAAGTCGATAATTTTGTTTGCAGCCAGGCTGCAACTAGATGGATACCTTAAAAATAATTTTTATTCGATGGACAACGTAGAAAATACTTATTCAACAAGTCAAATTGACAGGAACATCTGGACTCGTGCAGAAGTAGCTGGATGGATCGCACAAATGACTTCTCATGCACAACACTTTGTCTGCAGTGAACACAGAATATAATCACAGTATTTCACAAAATCAAGCATGAATTATATAATTAAATATAATGATCAAAATTCTTAACTTGTGTTGGCCAGCGGTTCTTTGATGGTAGATGCCTACCAAAAACTGCAACTGGTAAATAAGTGATCTTCGAATAAATGCTCTCATCAATGCCGTGTTAATCCTATTAACATCACACTGTTAGAAAAAACGGTAAAAAACAGTCCCACTGGCGTTCTAGTGGCCGGTCGCCCCGTGAAATAAACTGTTTCGCCGTTTTTATCAGATGTTTTACAGATTTCTAGTGTTAAATAGGAATAAAAACGGCGACACGGTGTTTCTTTTCACGTGCCGACCGGCCACTGAAACGCCGGTAATACCGTTAACGGTAATTTTTCTGACAGTGCAGTTCATTACAGTACCGCCCTCCGCTCAATGCAAGTTTTGAACCATTAAAAAACTTTTCGAACCAAGGCAGGAGTATTCCTTTTCCGGTCTGCTGCGTCTTGACAGAGGTGGATGATCAAACTACATTAAAAGCGGTTAAGAGATTAAAATTGACATGATAGTTTAAATGAATATAATACATAGGAAGATAGAACAATTAAAGCTAAGAATTTTTTGGCTTCAATATTTTCCTCGTAATACTATTATTTTATATTATTCCATTTAAAAGCATATGCAAAGAAAGCTAAACGACATTAAAGCTTGTCACTGGAGACCACTTGTTGAAGATGCTTCGCGAGATCTTGCGACTGTGCAATGTGGATTCTTCGCGATACACTGTTCGAAAAAAACGGTGAAAAAACGGTCATACTGGCATTCTAGAAACCAGCCGCCCGTAAAAATAAACAGTTTCGCCATTTTTTTCAGATGTTACACGAATTTCTAGTGTAAATTGTAATAAAAACGGCAACACGGTGTTTATTTTCACGTGCTTGCCGGTTACTGAAATGCCAGTAATACAGTTTAACGGTGATTTTCCTAACAGTGTATATTTGGGCTGGCATGCTTCCTAACTCAGAGATATCGTCTGCTGATTTATTGCCATGGTTGTGATTTGTACATTCTTCGGCGCAGAGCACGAAACATGGGCCAACCTCTCGAAAAACTCCTACACTATCGACAGTAGAAGTAGTACGAGTATCTACGACAACGTATATTTATTGCCAGAACTTATAATAGCCCAGAGAACTCGTGAGCATACAAGTTAATGTGACTATAATGCCGCAACAATGAGTAGTAAACTCGTGTGTCGCTAGGTTGAATAAGCTTCAGGCCTACACGTAAAAAAAGTTTTTGGTAGTTAGGTTGAATTAGCTTCAGGCCTACACGTAAAAAAAGTTTCTGGTAGTTAGGTTGAATTAGCTTCAGGCCACTAAGAGTTTTTGTTAGTGGACTTCATGTACAGAAGGAAGCAATGAAAATATTATAAATTGAACACAAGAGTCAACGGAGGCAGTCAGAATACATCGAGTGAGTTATTAGGTACGAAATCTGAGAAGCAACGATACTGAATGTAAAAACTCGAAGTAACTACCATGAAGGATATTAAGCAAGATTATTAAGCATAGATATGAAACTGTACGTAGCCAGGAGCAGAGTGTAAGAGAAACAAGCGAAAACATCAATAGGAAACAGTATCGATTGTAAACCAGATTTTGTAATCCAGATATCGATTTCCAGATTTCCTCTTTTATGCTCAAACGGCGGTTATTGGTAATGAATAACTACAATTATTTGATTGGGTAGTAATATTGATCATTTGTTATGGATATTGTTAAACTAAAGAGTAAATATGATAGCAATGCCCATCACCAGAGCGGCTCGGTTAACCCTGTAACTCGCAACAGTACAATTCAGGTTGTAATAACATACATAGCAAGCATACGTATTTCCCAAATATAATGCAATATAATTAGATAACTTGACGAACCAAGAGCAACAACAAAACCTTGTGACTTTTCTTGTTAATCTCTGTCACTCACTGCTGAATACTGAGTTATATTTTTGTTTATAGTTTTTAGCGCTTTTTCTCATTTATGGAAAAAATGCACTATTGCGCTCGCCATGTCCGTCTGTCCGTCCGTCCGTCCGTCAGTGACTTCACGTTTTCGTCGACGAGAAAATGCGCTCTCTGTCACTCACTGCCGCGAGTACCGAGTTACATTTTTTTAGGTACTATTCATTTTTGATTTATTGCTATTTTCTAATTCTGCACCGCGACGGTATCAATGTCTAAGATATTACTGGCTACGAAGGAAGAGTTTTTTTAAACCACAACAAAGAAATTAATAGGCAATGTAAATATTTAGCTTCAATAGTCCTTGCAAACGAACGGCTTCATTCAGAGAACTTTAGTTCTCTTTTTAATTAACTGTTAATTCGGTTGGATATTGAATTTTTTTAACTAACATTGGTTAGTTAAAAATCGTAATTAGCATTCACTGAAGACATTTTCAATAATATTTTATATTCAAGACTATATTTTTTAGAAGGTTTTATCCGCAAATTTTCATGATTAACCTTTCAACGGCTTGGCTGCAACACCGGCAACTCTGGCACGACACCGAGAACTTTAGTTCTCTTTTTAGTTAACTGTTAATTCGGTTGGATATCTTCCCCAAAAACCTCCCCAGGTAACAAGTTCCCAAAGTACGTTTAGGGATACCAAACCAAGGCCATGCTGCAAGCACCACCTTTGATGGCTACCAAGAGCAGTATAGCAAAACTGTTATGAAAATAATCATGATTAGTCAACAATTTCTTCATACATTTTGTATGACAATTGTGAGTATGACAAATGGGACATCTTTGTTATTAAAAAAGATTCAAGACTGAGGATTCATTGATTAATTATGGATGATTATTGGTTTATATGAACATTATGTTCTTAAATGTGATGTGAAAAAGCCCTCCTTACTTACCGGCGAACTCGAGAAATTTTTGATTACATATAAACACTTATACTCTTTACATAAAGAGCAGTCAGCGACACCGAGAAATGAACCGAGGTTCGAACCCCCAACTAGTTCTTTTATTATCGGTGCCCCGCTCCCTTCTCATGTGTGCATGTTCTGTGTTTCAAAATGTTTTTATCTGATAAGAATTTTTTTATTCTCCTCTCGAGAAAAATGCTTTTTTTCGTACATCTATAATGAAATAAATCGCATATTCTTCACCACATGAAGCGTTTCTTCATTATTCATCTGTAACCACGTTCTTTTCTAAGACCACTTCCTAGAGAATATATGCAGAAATAATTGCTACTCTGATAAGTCATGTCTTTGTTCTAAGGTAAATATACGTCACTCTTGCAGTCCACTGTACACTACAATATATATTGTATTTATAATATTGTATATACAGAGTGGGCAACCTCAGGAATAAATGGTTAATTTATAAGATGAATATCTGCACAAGTAGATGGTTTCGGTAGTTGTCTTCATATTCAGCATAATCTAATTATGAATCATTATCCTACGTAAAGTTTTCAATTAACTTTCTGCAAAACGGTTAAATTTATTTTTTGTTTCGTTGAATATTGACTTTTTTGATTAGTTTAAATGTGATCAGACTATAGTAGTCGTAAATAATTTGATTCTGGTAAGCAGTCAACACCACTCAATAAATCATTGACTGCGCTATTTTGGATCAAGCTTCGCTGCCCTTTTTTGTTCGCATCATGAAAACCTATTGACTTATGAATACATTAAGAAAACCTATTGCTTTCAAGAATTCCGTCTAAATTATGACGATTATATTATTATAGATTCCTTTTAATTTATGTACATTTTCTTCCATCACAAATTCTTAGATTTAATTAAAACGAGCTACGCCTATAAGTAGCTTCTTTTCTATTTTTACAGCTCTACAATAGTCATAAAATGTACAACAACTAAATGTTAAGTCGCCCAATGAACAACTGGATGAAATGGATTAAAATCCAACGATTTTCCCACCTATTTCTCTTCGGCAAACAGGAATTCTAATTTCAGAATTCTGAATTCCACAGAACTTTTCTGAAATTCAGAAATTTTAAAACAGAACTTTCCTGACTTTGACTGGCTTCCCATAATTTTCCAGAATTTAGTTTAAAAAATCATAAATTTTTCCAAAATTGTGTTAGAAAATATCATTGGGTTTATGAGACTATCGGAGGGGGAGTTTTTTCTTGAGGGGTTTAAGGGGGGGAGGAGGGTAGCATGGGGGTTGGGGGATTTGAAGCCCTGGTAGCGTTTGTTGCGGTTGGGGAATTTGTTGCTGCAGATGAGAATGTTGGTGTAATGGCATCTTTACAAGCACCTGTTGGTGCATCTTCTGAGGATGTGTCTGCTGGAACATCTGTTGGTGATTATAGTGCTGTTGATTCTGCGGGTGTGTCTGTTGAAATAATTGCTGGTGCGTTTGTTGCTGCAGCACCTGTTTATTATGTAACTTTTGATACGATTGTTGCACAATCTGTTGCGGCATTTGTTTGTTCTGTTGGTTAGACGTTCCGAGTTGCTCGATGACAGGCATAAAGAGGGGACCGCCCTTGTGGAGCTGAGGGTCTCGCCATAAGGCCTGATGGACAGTGTTGTCCACAGCGGCCATGGGCTTCCTCACGGCCACGCCCGGGGTCTGCGGAGGAGGTTGCTGTGTTTGTATTAGTTGTGTAGGTTGCTGTGTTACTTGGTGTGTTTGTATTAATTGTGTAGGTTGTTGTGTTTGTATTGGTTGTGGTTCGGTGGCATTCAAAAGTTGGTCTCTTCGTCGTTTCTGCTTGTCAAGATGGCGCTTGCGTTCTTCTTTGGACCAGAACTTCCCGATCTGCGCGGGACAGGGAAGTGTAGTGAGCAAAACTCTTGTAAAAATACTAATGATTAGTCAACAATTTCTTCATACATTTTGTATGACAAATGTGAGGACGACAAATGGGTCATCTTTCTTACTAAACAAAGATTCAAGACTCAGGATTGATTGATTCATTGATTCATTGATGAATAGTGATTTATATAAACATTATGTTCTGCCAGGTGCTGTGAAAAAGCCCTCTTTAATTACCGGCGAAGTTGAGAACACTTTGATTACAAATAAACACTTATACTCTTCACATAAAATCTTGCACTTACCGCGCACTTGAAAATCTTATTAAAGATAAGCACCACGCAAGCAAAAATGACACCTAATGTGATGAACTTACCTTGACCTCAGAGGTGACCTCATCATCGGTGGTGACACCACTTCTCTCCTGCAGGATGACCTTACCTTGACCTCGGAGGCAGCCTCATCGTCGGTGGTGACACCACTTCTCTCCTGCAGGATTCTGAGCGCGCGCTGCTTGCGGTGGTCGCGACGGCGGCCGCTGACGCTGCGCTGCGTGATGTAGCGCGTGCCGTCAGCCTACTAACCTTCCACTCCATTTGCTTTTGCGCAACGGGCGTCGTGGGTTCCGATTGAAAAGTTGGCTTAACATGTCGACCTGAAGAGTATCCTTTGAGCTGAAGTTGCTGAGGCCGCTGTTCTTCACAACAATTCTCGTAGATATCTTCTGCAGGGCTAACTCTAGTAGCGTTTTCTGATAACTTTTCCGTGACCGAGACGGAGAATTTGTAGCCCGAATTAGATGGTTTGTTCGCGCGAGAAAACATCTGGTTAGTTTGTTGTCGGGGTTGTTGATTGTTGGACCAAATAGCGTGGTTTAAATCATCGGCGTTTGCGTACAATGAGTGGCAGTTACTGATGACGTAGCCAGACTGGCTGGGTAACGAGTTGACGTACTGGGTTCTAACGTCTGGGCGGACATTGTAAGGAACGTCTCTGTTGTTGCTGGATCGTCCCGCTGATGAGGATGGAGGATAAAGTGGACGGTGGATGTACGGGGGACGGACAGAACCTGTCCTGTTCTGTCCAGTCGACTTCTCAGCCTGGCACTCCAGGCAGTATTCGTCCTGAAAATAAGGTGTAACATTTATAATATTATTCTCGAAGTGCACTTGAATTCGATAATAAGAGCTTTGGTGGTTCGACAAACGGGAACGACATCAAAATTTTGGCAATCTGAATAAAGCCGATATCAATATTTAATAAATACAGAACAGTGTTGCAATATAACGATACGATACCGAGTTGAACAAAAATTGCATTGATTCCCAAACATCAAACAAAAAATTAAAAATCATCCATATTATTTCACGAGGTAATTAAAAATTAATGATGTATAATCATACGGCGAAAAGGAGCCATAAACAAGCCTAAGCCCAGACCTGTCCAGCGGGGTTCAGTACGAGGGTTGAGGCTCGTAGCAGAGGATCACAACCCAGGCTCAGATGCAGGGGAGGGCTCAACCTAACCCCACCGCTGGCTGACTCTGCACACGGCCCTACCACCTGTAATGTAAATAATATCAACATTAATTAAAAACTTATTTCGTGAAGTTTAATGGAATGAATATGGACATCGGATGAGATACTTTAGCAATTGATCCACAAGACATTTCCTTACATGGGTAAATAGTGCATTAAAAACGGTTGGATCTTTGCACAATATAGATAATTGAATTATATATTTGAGCGTATTTTCTCGTCGACGAAAAAGTGAAGTCACGGACGGACAGACAGACAGACGGACGGACGGACATGGCGAGCACAATAGTGCATTTTTTCCATTAATGAGAAAATGCGCTAAAAATAATACCCAAACTTAGTTAGCATACATCGCGCGGTATCGCGGTTACCTGATGGTTACTACCAGTACTATCGCCGGTGTTGTAGGCAGAGGACGAGTCTCTGTTGTCCTCCTTCTTCTCCACCAAACCATCTCTGTCCGCCTTCGGTGGTCGGTCCTCGCTGCCACCGCGGCGTTTCTTGCCACTGATGCCATTACGACTGCCACTAGAACTGCTGCTGTTGTTGCTGCTGTTGGTGCCTTTGAAGTCGTTGCCTTTGGCCTCGTGCGAACTAAGAGAAGCTTGCATGGGACAGTTGCAGCAAACGTCGGGGGCCGTGGGGCGAGAAGAGTCCAAAGGAAAATTCGAGTTTTGTAAAGCAAAATCTCCTTTTCGAGTTGAAATGTTAACATTTCTAGGGTAAATATCTGCGATCTTATAAGGAAAACCGTGATTTCTTGGAGACAAGTCGTGTTTTTTAGGGGATAAGTCGGTTATTCTTGGCGACACCTCTGGACTTCTAGGAGATTTGTCGGATTTTCTAGATGGATATTGGAAGTTCTTGTTGGAAACATTCCCATTTTTTGGCGATATCCTGCGACCGGTTTTGCCGGGCTGATAAGGGAGGCAGTAGATAGGCTCGTCGGATTCCGTGATATCAGGAATTGATTCATAAATGTGATCAGAATCTGTGGGGTGGACGAACGAAGGTAGGCTCAACGGCGGCCGCTTATTTGGCCGATTTACTGGATTACCTTCGTTGTTGGGGAAATATTTCGATGACGACGTGGACATTTTGATGACTTTCACGTCGCTCTCGTGGATATTGTGGATTTCCTCATTGAGATCACAGATTTGTTGGTCGATTTGTTTCATATGGCGGCCAATGGTATCGTCCTGTCCATCGTGGCTGTCCTTCAGCTCATGGCCACCAAGCATCTTCTTCATCCTCGAGGATGACTTGCGGTGTTTTTTGGATGAGTTTCCAGGCGACTCCGTGGATGAGGTGTTGGATGAACAGCTGGATGAGGTCGGGGAAGGCAGGGACTTCAATTCTTCATCTTTTTCACATTCTTCGGACTTGGTAAATTTTTTGTTTTCTTTTTGCGTTTCAACGCAAACCGCGGGCTCTTCTTCGCATATAAAACGCACTGGCTTCTCCTCTCTGACGTATCTGGATGATGAAAGTAATAATTAGAAGAATATTATTAATAATAATCTAATTAATAATGAACTATTTAGCAAATAGTTGAGATGGACGATGGACTGACCGCGTGGCCTGGAACTCGTACTCGGCGTCGAGCTCCTCGAGTTCTTCGTCCTCCTCGTACACGTCCTCCAGGAGGTCAGCCTCCACCAGGTCATCTTCGTCCTTCACATCAACAAAATAACTTTATTTGTAGAACAAACAGATAAGGTATCGTTAATTGTATCATACTATTTATCAGATTATTACATAACTTAATTTATCTTATTATTACATTACATTATATATCAGATTATTACATAACTTGATTTGTCTTATTATTATATTACATTATCATCAGATTATTACATAACTTAATTTGTCATATTATTATATTCCATTATCATCAGATTATTACCTAACTTAATTTATCTTATAACTATATTACATTATTTATCAGCTTATTATATGGTACTACTTAATTATCAGAGTATCATATATTATCGACCTCAAAATTGAAATGTACACTAAAGACAACGACCAATATTTGCTTGATACGAGAAAGAAATTGGTCAAATCTTCGTAGTAATGATGAAATTGCAGGTAAAAAACGCGTATAACAGCCCACACAGCCACGTAACTCAAGTAATACTGGTCACGTAAAACAGCCCAAACAACCCACGTAACTCACGTAATACTGGTCACGTAAAACAGCACACGTAAGACAACGACCAATATTTGCTTGATACGAGAAAGAAATTGGTCAAATCTTCGTAGTCATGATGAAATTGCAGGTAAAAAACACGTATAACAGCCCACACAGCCACGTAACTCACGTAATACTGGTCACGTAAAACAGCCCAAACAACCCACGTAACTCACGTAATACTGGTCACGTAAAACAGCACACGTAACCACGTAACTCACATAATACTGGTCACGTAAAACAGCCCACACAGCCACGTACCTCACGTAATACTGGTCACGTAAAACAGCCCACACAGCTCACGATACCAAAAACTGCAACTGGTAAATAAGTGATCTTCGAATAAACGCTCGGATCAGCGCTATGCGAATTCGTATTAACATCAGTTCATTACAGCACCACCCTCCGTTCAATGTAAGTTTTGAACCATTAAAAAAACTTGTAGAGCCAAGGCAGGAGTATTCCTTTTCCGATCAGCTGCGGCTTGACAGATGTGGATGATCAAACTACATCAAAAGCGGTTAAGAGATTAAAAGTGACATGCTAGAGTTTAAATGAATATAATACATAGGAAGATAGAACAATTAAAGCTAAGAATTTTTTGGCTTCAATATTTTCCTCGTAATACTATTATTTTATATTATAACTCACGTAAAACAGCCCACGTAACTCACGTAAAACAGCCCACGTAACTCACGTAAAACAGCCCACGTAACTCACGTAAAACAGCCCACGTAATTCACGTATTACAGCCCACATAGCCACGTAACTCACGTATTACAGCCCACAAAGCCCACGTATTACAGCCCACAAAGCCCACGTATTACAGCCCACGTAACTCACGTAATACTGTGTACGTGACACGAGTAGCTTGACGCGGAGGCCGCAGCGCTGGAAGAGTCGCTCAGTCTGCTCACGTGACAAGCCGATGCGGAGTCTGCCGTCGCGGGCGGCAGGCGAGTCTGGCAGGATCTGTGACACGAGAACCTCAGTCGCAGGCGAGTCCTTGGCAGGCGAGTTACATGTACCGTTGGCAGGACTCTGGTACACGTCCTTGTGCGGCGATGCAGGCGACTTATCGGGCGAGACAGGCGGTTTCTTATCAGACGAAGTGATTGTTTCTTCGTCAGGCGAAGTGTGGGATTCAGGGGTTGCCTCAGCAGGCGCTTTCACGGCAGGCGACTGCAAATACAAAATACATTCAACTTTACTCCACACACACACAACTTCATACATAACTTTATTCATTTCTTGGAACAACTATGCCTGTATAAAATGAAAAAGATGACAAAATTTCATTTGACAGGCAAGAAAACAGAGGAAAACAAAGTTTAAATACAGAAATATTAGAATTTTACTATCAAACAAAAGTGTTAAATATATGCAGCATGGTGCAGTAGTTTACGACAAATACAGAGTCATGGTGCAGTAGTTTACTACAAATACAGAGACATGGTGCAGTAGTTTACTACAAATACAGAGACATGGTGCAGTAGTTTACTACAAATACAGAGTCATGGTGCAGTAGTTTACGACAAATACAGAGTCATGGTGCACTAGTTTACGACAAGTACAGAGTTTACAATAGAAAATATAATTCTGGTCGCAGTGCCTTTATTCGCTATCTTTTTGATCCTAAACTGTAATCGGTTTCTCATGGACCGCAATCACTTGAGCTTATCTTTCAAAGCGCTGCAGATAAGAAGCGTCAAGAAGCTGTCAGTGTCACTTCAGACGTGCAGTCATCATAATTATATCTTACAGATTAAAGTTTAAATTTAGATTCGTCAAATTTTATCAACGGTGAGAAAGTTCTTAATGAACCGAGATCAAGAGTTTCGCATAAGATAACGTAGATTAGTTAGATACCAGTTTTGCGTAAATGCTAATTATACTTTCAGTAGTCAATTAAGAATAAATCATGTCAATAATGATCGTGAAACGTCGTATCATTTAGAAGTTTGTGATATGCAAGTATACGAGAGAATTTAAATGTCATTTTACGTCTCCTGATCAAGCGAGTCGGTAAAACTGACACGAAAATTCCATCATCACTTACGTTGCCAGTTGCCGCAATATCGCCGTCAACAGCAACGGCGTCGCCGGCAACAGCAGCGGCGTCGCCGGCAACAGCAACTGCGTCGCCGGCAACAGGTGAATCGACTGCACATTAAAAAATCGTACAATAAAGCGCGTGTTTTTTCCATTAAGTTACCCAGTGAATAATGCATTAAATTTTCTAAGGTAAAGTTTATCTTTATGATTTATTTATTTCTTCCTCTCATTGCCTAATACAAGAGGAAATAATTTGTCCAATTTGTTGCGAAGCATAAAACAAACTCGCGCACATATGCCATAAACGTTTTTTTTTTTACTACTAGCCATCGCAATTGTGGGTCTATTCATCATTCTTACAATTCTAATATCTATTGATAATCTATTTACGCACATTACATAGAGTAAAAACTTTCGCATAATTTCATTATAATATCTATATAATAACACGGTTCTACCGAAGACCTCAACAATTTAATATAAGAAATCTATGAAAAATGGTTCTATTTTGAGCCTCATAGACGGGAATGCAAAAAGATGGCCTAAAAAAAGACGTACCATTTTTAGCGGACAAAGCAGGCTCACAATTTAATTTTCACTTGTATTTTATTTGGTAAAATATAATAATAATTATTTAATTATAATTTTAACTACAATTTTACTTGGTAAAATGCAATAAGGAAGTACAGCTATCATAATTTTTTTCAGGCCAACGGTATAGTGAAAAAATAAATCCTAAAATTTGGCCGAAAAAATACATCTAGCAACCCTGCATAAAGAAACGGAACCCTACCTTAATTGTTCTTCTACTTCATCTTCACCATAACAGGTAAATTTATTTTATCATTTACCATATAACAGGAAATTGTTTATTATATAACAGGAAATTATTTATTATATAACATGATATTATTTATTCTATAACAGGAAATTATTATTTACACCGTACAATCGTTTTATATATTAGTTTATAGCAAAGAACCACATACCTAAAGTAGGCGTATGTATATAACATGAAATTATTTTTATTTACACCGTACATTCATTTTATATGTACATTAGAGTATAGCAAAGCATGCACCTACTTGAAGGAGGCGTGTATATATAATTATTATATAACAGGAAATTATTCTTATTTACACCGTATAATCGTTTTATATATTAGAGTATAGCAAAGAACCACCTACCTGAAGGAGGCGTATGTATATAACAAGAAATTATTATTTTTAGATTGAACAATCGTTTTATACATTAGAGTATAGCAAAGAACCACCTACCTGAAGGAGGCGTATGTATATAACAAGAAATTATTATTTTTAGATTGAACAATCGTTTTATACATTATTTTATAGCAAAGAAGCACCTACCTGTAGGAGGCGTATGTATATAATTATTATATAACAGTAACTTATGATTATATAACAGTAAATTATGATTATATAACAGGAAATTACTTATCATATAACAGGAAATTATTATTATTTACCCCGTATAATCGTTTTATACATTAGTTAATAGCAAAGAACCACCTACCTGAAGGAGGCGTGTGTGGAGAGAGATGAGGGAGACCAGGAGTGCTGTAGTAGAGCGTGAGTCCTAACTTCTCCTGTAGGGAACTACGCTGCAGCACGATCTCCTGTGAGACGTTAAGTAATTAATTGTTGGGTACTTACTTCAATAAAGTACTTACTTGCACTTAAGTAACACTTACTGTAAAGCAGTGTTACTTAATTAAAGCGCAGCATATTATACACACTTCGTAACTGCGTGCGTAATGCGCGAGTGTGATGCACTAATGTGCGTATTACTTCAGTATCTTCGTATTTAGTACCTCAGTATCTTGGTATTCAGTACCTCAGTATCTTGGTATTCAGTACCTCAGTATCTTGGTATTTAGTACCTCAGTATCTTGGTATTTAGTACCTCAGTATCTTTGTATTTAGTACCACGGCATTACTATCTACTTCCAAAGATAAATTTTTTCAAGCAAATGAAGAATAAGCAAATGAAGAATAAGCAAATGAAGAATAAGCAAATGAAGAATAAGCAAATGAAGAATAAGCAAATGAAGAATAAGCAACTGAAGAATAAGCAAATGAAGGAGAAGCGATAATTGTGAGATTACGATGCGGCAGGACAAGGCAATACGTGAGGAAGTGACAACGCAAAAATCTTTACTTTCTAAAGCTTTTATGATAATCATGACCGCAAGTCTTTATTTATTAGCATAGTCTGTTGTACCGGGGGGGATGATAAAGATTATTTGTAGGATATAATCTTATTAAATTAAATTTGGCCGCAAATTCAATCTATATTAAACCGATAGAGAAATTTATGCCATTATATGATGAAATGTTGACATCCAAGTCTTTATTTATTAGCATAGTCTGTTGTACCGGAGGGGATGATAAAGATAATTTGTAGAATAAAATCTTATTAAATTAAATTTAGCCGCAATTTACTCGATGTTAAACCGATTGAGTAATTTATGCCATTATATATGATGAAATCTCGACATTAAGATAAGGAAGTTGGGCAACGTAGTTGTGGGAAGTGTACAAGTGCAACATTCAACAACAATTATTGGTAGAAAGTTTCATTCCTTGTAATAGCGCTGACACTACACAACATTTCTACGTACGCTAAGCTGACACTACACAACATTTCTACGTACGTAGCGCTGACCCTACTCAACATTTCTACGTACGTTGAGGTAACATTATTAAACATTTTTACATTACGCTGAGTTGACACCACTCTACATTTATACGTTCGTACTCAACATTTCTACATGGCGCTGACACTATTGAAAGTTTCAACTAACGTAGCACTGACACGCAGAGGTATCGGCAAATGAAGGGGAATGTTTTTCAACAGAACTTGTATGGCTTGCACTACACGAAATGCCTTCCGCCTACACACCTCCAAACGTACACATCTGAGTACACATGTATTCCGGCACGCACACAGACTTAAATACCTATACACATACACACACAGAGGTGTACATAAGCGCCATGTGTGAGCGCCAGAAGTAAACACGTCGAGGCATCGCTTGTGCAGAAATACCGCGCCTACCGACACACCTAATACACTTCACACACCTCACACACCTCATACACTTCACACACCTCATACACTTCACACACCTCGTACACTTCACACACCTCATACACTTCACACACCTCATACACTTCACACACCTCATACGCTTCACACACTTCATACGCTTTACACATCTCACACAACTCATACGGTACTTGAGCTCTTACCGTGGCACTAGTTTTGCAAAATGAGGTCTTTCAAAGATGCTTTCCAGAGCTTAGTAAATGGGTCTTTCAGTATACATCTTTTCCCGTATCACGGAAACTCTATCCAAGTATACCGAAAAAGTCTACAGGTCTTCTCCAATTGCAAACTCAATGTTACCAACACCCTCTACTCTAGCAGTGCCAAAGTGTTTTAATTTGATTCTCCTTTTTGGAATAACGAAATGAATGAATAAGGCTTCTGTCTGCGGTTGTGGAAGTTCAGTTATGCCTCGGTCCTTCAATAAAAAATAATTTTTCCTATGCTCCATTGGAGTGACCGTCTTTACAGAACTGCTTGAGGTTCGCTCCCGCAGGCTCCACATATATTCATGCATGGCCAGAAACTGGCGCTCGAGAACATAGAGGTAATAAATCAGGCTAATTCTTCCAAATCATTACGCAACACAGGTCTGGCTTTGTTCCCTCACATCTACACAAGACAACCTACACAACACACATCAGTTCAGGGCCTATACTTTCAAAAAAAGTTAAGAGATCGTAAGTTCATCAGCCAATCATTGACGGCCTTTCAAGCAAAATCCACCAATCATAGACAAGAAAATAGAGCGTAAGTACTTACGTTCACTTAGCGAGTTTTGAAAGTATGACCCCAGTTCATTCTCATCCATCACTTCATCAATCATCTCTCATAGCAATTAAGTAACCCCATATGCTGCTCACCCACACCTTATCCCTCATCCCACCCTAAATTTAATTCCTCACCCCCAACTCACCCCTAATTCCTCACCCCAACTCACCCTTAATTCCTCACCTCTAATTCCTCACCCCAACTCACCCCTAATTCCTCACACTAACTCACCCCTAATTCCTCACCTCAATATCGATCTCCTGATCGAGGTACTGCGACAGGGACTTGGGGAGGTCGCCGGGGAAGACGTAGTCGGCGTCAGGAGATGACAAGCTCTCTCTCTCCTCCTCCTCCTCCTCCAGCACGTCTTCCCCCTCCAGCACGTCTTCCTCCTGTACGCCGTTCCCCATCTTGCAGCGACACTCCACACATCTCCCCTCGTTGCCTCCCCTCACTCTCCCCTCGTCGGGCACCACGTATGCGGCCGGCCATACGCCACCAGGGACCGCCCATACGTCGCCCACAATCTGCGCCGGGACCATAAACTGTTACGTGTTTCGTATCAGGATAAACAGTATTAAGTGTCTCGTATCAGGACACTGTAACGTATATCGTATAAGGATAAACAGCGTAACGTATTTCGTATCAGGACACACAGTGTAACGTATTTCGTAACAGGATACACAGTGTAACGTTTCCAGCATCAGGACAGTGTTACACATCCAGTCTCAGGAATAACAGTGTATGTTAGCCCGTATATCAGGACAAGCAGCGTACGTTCATCCGATGTGTTGTACCGTTACCACTGTTTTTTTTTACATTTCCAATTTTTGGCTACTACGGTATATGTCGCCTACGAATATATTTACCGTCATCAATGCCTATGATATAAATTATATTCGTATAAAACGAATTATATATAAAAAATGTATTATATATACCGTAATATATAAAATTATATTATATTCGCATAAAACGCCTGAGACCGAGAGGAACAACGGAACAGAACGGATTAAGGTCGACTTGTTAGGAAGCTGTATTGCTCGACGATATTTATTTTCGATGTATATATAATCACAAGAGGAGGGCTGAACAGCATCACCGAGATAATTTATATTTGTTTGCTTCGCTGTTGAGTCTCATCATAGAGGCCTGTAGCTTATCTTCAACACGGGCGCCACTGTCAATATTTGCTAGCATAAAAACAGAAGCAAACATAAGCCTATTCATTTCAAGACTTATTCCAGTGCATTACTACATATTTGTGACTACTTCCACGTAATTAAAGTTTCGTTCCGCTTAAATTCGCACGCCCCATTGATACAATTAATTTAATAAACAGGATACGACGATGGACTGGTTTTTAATAACCAAAGAGAATTAGATATCATCATTCTTTTTACCAAATTTCCAAAAATATCCCAACTCGATTAAAAACTATTTTTGCCACAAACCTCTACGCGTATCGCTGTTTTGCCAACAATTTTTCGCTACTATCACAAGAACTAAAAATTAACCATAAAACCTCAAATGAGCATAGTAGTGCCCAGCTTGAGTTATTTCTTCTTATGAAATCATATTATATCTCAGGAGATCAATGCAGAGTGACATTGATTGACTTATTCGCAACTTATTGACTCATTCGACAGCAAACTACATAAACGTACTATTAGAAATCTTTAGCTGAACATCTTGTAATTGAAGTCGAATGCAGTTCAGGGGTGAAAAATTTGTTAAATTTAGCAATAAAACTTGCAAGAAAGAATCGACATTATTACGTTGATCGAACTTAAGAGAATAAGAAAGAAGATACATAATAAACTTGTTGATAATCGTGTCGTGCGAGCCCTGTCATGCACTGCTTTATCTGGTGGCACTAACACGTTACAGTGGCACTGTTCCTACACCCAAACCTGACACTGCAGCCATGGCTAGGAGGTGTGCATGATGGTTCTTCGACATTAATAAATTACACAGACGGAAGAAATACTGCCTCATAATATATGAATGTGTAAACCTCATTGGAATACGAAGGTTGGTGGAATACTAGCTATTCTTAGTTTGAATAATTGTCCTACTCATTTTCGTTTTACAAGATAAAATAGCATGAGGGGGACAAGATTTCTTCTGGTCATACAATTGTTTAAAATCTAACAAAAATAATGACAAGTAACTGACTATATGAAGACAAAAAAATCCATTAGTAAAAATAAAGACTACTTAGTATAGTAAAGTAGAGTATAGAAGAGTATAGTAGAGTATAGTAGAGAATAGTATATATAGTATAATGATGTCGGCGCTGAAGAGTAGGCCTGATGTGGCCTGTCGCCGATTCTTGTAATTTTCGTGACTTATTCATAAAACATCTAAAAATAGGTCTTATGACCGGATCTTTTCCAAACTGACGATAGTTTGAAACAGATACTAGACTTCCACTAGGTTCGTACGGTGCTAGGCATTTCAAGTCTGAACATATATCTTTCCATAGCTTTATCTAGTATGTTCTTGATCGAACGCGTTCATACTTGGAGCACCAACGATGTAATCATGGAGGGTTGTTCCACATGTCGGTATACTGTATATGCTCGAAGCGAGAAGAAATGCTGTCGTATAGATAGTTGCACCGCAGTTTTTATTAGTTTATACAGTATATAGCCGTGGCCCCTGGTGTTGGTTCTTCTTTCAAATTCCAGTATAATCCTTCTAGGACCTTGGATAAACCATGCGTATATACTTGTATACTTCAATGAGGTCACCACGCAGACATCGATAGCAGAGGCTTGGAAGCTTCATAATCTTTAATCTTTCTTCATAAGACTTACCCTTCAAGCCTGGAATTATCTTTGTTGCACGTCTTTGAACTCTCTTTACTAAATTTTTGTCCTTTCAAAGTTTCGGTGACCACGCGGCATTTCCAAACACTAGGTTCGGGCGCACGACAGCAACAAACAACTGCTTCATTGTTTCTGCGTCTAGGAACTCGTAGGAGCGCCTGATTAACCCAAGAAGTTTATGGATTTTTTAGCATGCATTTCAATAGGCCTAGGGAATTTTAGCTCCTTGCCAATAAAAACTTCCAAATCTTATTCCTCTCTAGACTTTTCAATCATCACTCTGTCGTTGCAACCATGTATTCTCAAACCGTAACCTTGCAGTTCATTGTTCTTCTCGAGATGAAGTACTTTACATTTGTCAGCATGAAAACGTAGCTGCCACGTATCTTTTTGTTTTATCGGCATACAAAGACTTTTGACTTATCGGCACTTTTTTTTTGACTTATCGGCACAAAGACTTTTGTTTTATCGGCATACAAAGAGCACACGCTTAAAACTACTTATGGCAGATCGCTTATAAAAGCAACGAATAAAACAGGCCCATGAACACTTCCTTGTGACACGCCTCTGCGCATCGTTGCCCAGTTTGATACGGTCCCGTTAATACTGAGACGTTATCGTCTGCCTTCTAGAAAATCCCTGATCCATTGGAGAACATTTCCCTCTTTTCCCAAGGACTTAACTGGTCGCAACAGCCGCTCATGCGGAACACTGTCAAATGTTTTGGCAAAATCGAGGTACAATGCATGCACTGGCTCCCTTTCGTCCAGCAAGCGAGACCATTCATTCAGAGTAGACAAGAGGTTAGTGGTGCAGGATCTACCGGCAATAAAGCCATGTTGACAGTTTGATAAAAGATGGTTAACAGTAAAGTGATCGATTATCCTATCCCTCACAAAAGATTCCATTACCTTACAAACAACACTTGTCAGGCTGACAGGGCGATAGTTAACGGGGCTAGTACTTTTGTCACATTTTTGGAACAATGGTGTTACTTGAGCTTCTATCCAATCGGCCGGCGATGCCCCTTCGTTCTAGGATTTTTGAAATAATACGGTCAAAGGGCTGGCCAGACGGTTGCTAATTCTTTGAGCGACTTGTCTTGGTCCACACCTAATACCTACAAGATGAACGCTTTTTCGAGGCCTACATTGAAGTAATATCTGTTGAATTAACGATGGCATCAAACAAGAAGCGATATTAAATTTATTCAAGAAGAAAGTTCAGGTTACAATAGGAAAAATTTGAATAAGAATGCAAAGTTACGCACGTTCGTTATAGCACAACAAAAGGAGACTCACCTCGGTCTGCGTTCCTTCAGTGGTGCATAGCGAGTTTTGTTCATATGTTGCCTCATGTTTATTAAAAATAGCATTTCTATTCACCGCGCAGGACAATTTTGCGTGCTGTTCAACTGCATCACATGTGCTGCACTCCGTTCCATGAGTCGTGACCTCCGTAATTTCTTCACTAACTTTGCTAACATCTAAAGTTCGGGAAACTTTTGAATTGCTCTCGACATCCGAATTCGAATCTAAATTTGGGATGTTCCGAACACCTGAGGTTTGAGTCACGTAGGGAGTTCGTTGAAGATCATGAACAACAGAATAAATTTTTGTCGCGTCCTCGATTGCATATGAAATTTGACACTTGCTTTCTTCAGTACTTGTGTCTTCATTTATTAACGTTTCTCTTCTTCCTTGCAGGCTGTCGTTATTTTGATTTTCGTTTCCGTCGTGAAGACGTACATCATCAGATGGTTCTGAAGAATTTGTGGGTTCAACAGGTGGGTTAGAGGGAGAGCTGAGGGTAGCGTGGGTTTCGAGAGAGGGACTAGATTGAGAGTGGGAAGAATTAGGATTTATAGCGTGATTTCGAGTGGGGTTAGAATGCAGAAGAGGGTATGTAGAGTGGGTATGGGTAGTGTGAGGCTGGTTTAGATCTGGGTGCGTGTGATCAGAATTTGGCGGGTGCGAGTGGGTTGAGTGAGTGTGGGCAAGATGAGTGGGCTTCCTGAGCACACTGATGAGTATGGGTTCAACAGCCTTGTTGAACACAGCGAGAGCCTCCTCGTGCGACAGCTGACTGACATCTTCTCCATTCACCTGCACACAATACATCAAATACATTATATATAATCTAGCCAAAAATAATTAGTACCTATATACTTTTCATTAACCAAATTAAAAAAAAAATAGATCAGTACTCACTGCAGTGAGTGATAGCAAGCGCATTTTCTCGTCCGTCCGCCCGTGAAGTCACGGACGGACGGACATGACGAGCACAATAGCGCCTTTTTTCATAAATGAGAAAATGCGCTAAAAAACGATAAGAACATTGAAGCTGGGTTAGAAAATGTATGAATAACTGTAGCATATAAATTTGGCAAATTCTCGACTCGATGTACACTGTACAGGTGGTCAGGAAAGTGCGGACCGTCCACTTTGATGTGGTGTCGGAAACTGCATGTGCTGGAAAACGAAGCGGGCAATTAGCGGCGAGTTTAGCGCGTTTAGCGGAACGTCGTACGCTCGTCCGTTGCGGTACAAGCAGAGCGAAGTTGTTAAAAAAAATAATGATGATACGGTACCAGAAAAACAATCTATAACTAACGTTTGCTAAGTGAAATTTGCAAAAAATATAACTCAGTACTAACTGCTGTGAGTGATAGAGAGCGCATTTTCTCGTCGACAAAAAATTGAGGTCACGGACAGACGGACGGACAGACAGACAGACGGACATGGCGTGCACAATAGTGCATTTTTTACATAAATGAGAAAATGCGCTAAAAACAATATCGCTACCGGTATAAGAAGAACCTCAGCAGAAGTCTAAACCGCAGCTCCCAAACGTTGTTAGTGCAAATTGCCTTTCATCTAAACAAACATGAGAATGAGACCACCAACAGAAACCCATTCAGCATCACAAACACCATCAATACACCACGCCTTCTTTATCAGATCTCGCTGATCAACAACATCGGTAAAAAAGCTTCGTCCGCAAAAATAATATCAGCACCATTAAATCTTCATAACAATCAAGTTTATTACGATTGGATGTTTAGTGCTACAAAAAACAACACACACATCGATCAGAACCACATCACTACCTCTAAGAGCATCCCTCTCACTCTTTTTGGTATTTTTCTAATACATAACATACGCTCTTTTTAACGCATTTTCTCATTTATGGAAAAAATGCACTATTGTGCTCGCCATGTCCGTCTGTCTGTCCGTCCGTCCGTGACCTCAAGTTTTCGTCGACGAGAAAATGCGCTCTCTGTCACTCACTGCAGTGAGTACTGAGTTATATTTTTAGTGCTGGAAAACGAAGCGGGCAATTAGCGGCGAGTTTAGCGCGTTTAGCGGAACGTCGTACGCTCGTCCGTTGCGGTCCAATTGCAGCGCCGAGTTGTTAAAAAACAAGAAATAGTGATGACACCTGAAACACAATCAATAACTAACGTTTGCTAAGTGAAAATTGTAAAAAATATAACTCAGTACTCACTGCAGTGAGTACTGAGTTATATTTTTTGGTTTATTTAATTGTTGGCACTAATTTTGAAGCTGTCTTGCATTCTTAGCCTTATAAGTTAAATGATCTCAGTAATCGATATGACGCGACGTTCGCTCCACTCACACTCCATGTGGTATGTTGTTATAGTATATTACTTACGTTTTAGTAGTAATATATTTATCGGCAGTAATAGTAAGTACGGTAATATGTATTAAAGTCGGCATTTTAGTAAGTTGTTATTGTGTCAACAGTGTAGTATAAGTAATATATTAAAGTATATTTGTCAGCACTAATATTAAGACTCATCCATGATTGATGTCAGGGGGTTTTACACGCAACATACGTTCAGCAGTCATTATTCTACTACTCGCTTTTAAGCACGTCGGCCCCCAGGGGCAGCTGTGCTGGTGAAGTTCCCTCAGTTTCCCGCACATCCTGAATAACTTTCCCGCCACCGAGGGAAAGTTCATACGGTGGTCCCTAAATGTTTCGAATGTTGCGAGAAAACCACCGGCGTCAATCACGGATGAACGTCAACATTGGCGCCGACAAATATACCATAAATATTATATATATATATATATATATTATTGAATTATATATATTGAAGTATCAAATAGTGATCGTTGCATCATTACTGAGATCATTCAATTAACGCTTAAGATTCAAAGCATTTTGCAATAATAAATTGAATCTCTTGAGCGTTCATCGATTAATGTTATTTAGGATTTCAAATCTCACCCGACTCATAAGATTAGGATTTCAAATCTCAACCGACGCACTATTTACGTATCATCAGAGTTAAATATATCATGGTACATAGTAAAAGTTTCAAGGGTGAACCTATCATAGTACATCATCGTACCATCACAAGTGAACCTATCATAGTACATCATCGTACCATCACAAATGAACCTATCATAGTACATCACCGTACCATCACAAGTGAACCTATCATAGTACATCATCGTACCATCACAAGTGAACCTATCATAGTACATCATCGTACCATCACAAGTGAACCTATTATAGTACATCATCGTACCATCACAAGTATGCCTATCATAGTACATCACCGTACCATCACAAGTAAACCTATCATAGTTCATCATCGTATCATCACAAGTAAACCTATCATAGTACATCATCGTACCATCACTAGTAAACCTATCATAGTACATCATCGTACCATCACTAGTAAACCTATCATAGTACATCATCGTACCATCATAAATATAACTATCATAGTACATCATTGTACCATCACAAGTGAACCTATCATAGTACATAGTTTGCATAATACATATGCATGTGGTCCGCCGGCCGCCGGACCAATGATACGGCGTTGAATGATGCCCATATGATTTGGCTATGTAAATAATAAGCCATTTATTTATGAATTATGATTGTTATAAAATTCTTGACTTTTAGTGCATTTGATTCTAGACCACAACATTCCTTATTTAATATGCCTCTTTCCATATATAATTCGAAACCTCTAAATAATTGCTTAGAGCGGAAAGAAAAGAACCTGTTTGCAAAATGCAGAAAAATGTCATAAAATAAAGTCATTGACGCGGGTTGCCAATTTCTTACAGAGAGGAACTAAAATTTCATAACAGAAATACCGTGGTGATTTTTAGTTTATAACTGGATAATAACTGGAAATTCCGGGATATATATATATATATATTTCTGCAAAATTCGTCCAGTCGTCTCTGGAATGTTAAAAGGGTTATACTTAATTCCCTCTTCTTACTCCCCTCTCAGCACCATACAAGCACACACCAACACCATACAAGCAACACAAGCACACACCAACACCATACAAGCAACACAAGCACACACCAACACCATACAAGCAACACAAGCACACACCAACACCATACAAGCAACACAAGCACACACCAACACCATACAAGCAACACAAGCACACACCAACACCATACAAGCAACACAAGCACACACCAACACCATACAAGCAACACAAGCACACACCAACACCATACAAGCAACACAAGCACACACCAACACCATACAAGCAACACAAGCACACACCAACACCATACAAGCAACACAAGCACACACCAACACCATACAAGCAACACAAGCACACACCAACACCATACAAGCAACACAAGCACACACCAACACCATACAAGCAACACAAGCACACACCAACACCATACAAGCAACACAAGCACACACCAACACCATACAAGCAACACAAGCACACACCAACACCATACAAGCAACACAAGCACACACCAACACCATACAAGCAACACAAGCACACACCAACACCATACAAGCAACACAAGCACACACCAACACCATACAAGCAACACAAGCACACACCAACACCATACAAGCAACACAAGCACACACCAGCACCATACAAGCAACACAAGCACACACCATACAAGCAACACAATCAAACTTGTTCACCTTGAGGCTCACGCGCGCAGTTCCGCGTGCCTTACGGGCGAGCTGAGTAACGGTGTACAGTCAGCGTACAGCGGCGTACAGTCAGCGTACAGCGGTGTACAGTCAGCGTACAGCGGTGTAGTCAGCACTCAGCGGTGTACAGTCAGCGTACAGCGGTGTACAGTCAGCACTCAGCGGTGTACAGTCAGCACTAAGCGGTGTACAGTCTGCACCCAGCGGTGTACAGTCAGCACTCAGCGGTGTACAGTCAGCACTCAGCGGTGTACAGTCAGCACCCAGCGGTGTACAGTCAGCGTACAGCGGTGTACAGTCAGCGTACAGCGGTGTACAGTCAGCGTACAGCACTCAGCGGTGTACAGTCAGCGTACAGCACTCAGCAGTGTACATTCAGCACTCACCCTCCTTCGACTCCCCACCCTGCCCCACTCACCTCTTCTTACTCTAATTTTAATTTGGAGAGCAAATTAAAATTATTTTTATTTTTATTTTTTTTTAATTATTATTTTATTAATTTTAAATTATTATTTTTAAATTATTTTTGCGTTGGATCAAGCTGTTGCAATAACATATCCCGAGTTAAATAAAAAACATTCTTCATCTATGTACACAAAATTTATTAATTACACATGAGGGATTAAGTACACATAAAATTATGCATAAGCTGCATTTAAACGTCGCAAGAAATAACGAAAGAAATCACGGCGTTAATAATGATAGATGATAATAATAATCGTTAATAATGATATTTGAATCCCGTTCTCAATAATCCCTTTCTCCTGGTTTCACATTTCCTCGGAATAATATTGGAAAAATGGTAATTAGTAAATCATTAAACTTCGACATGTATACATGTATAATTTGTATGTATATATACATCGTTGAGCTTCAAAAATGCCATTACATGAATCTTCACGAATATCTAACAAACTAGCATTCACTCAGAAAATTAATTGGACTATTTTCCCAATAGTGAATCACTTTCTTCCCCACAGCACGAGCGAATGTATCTTTAATAATCACATTTCGGTGGAAACAGAATTTACGTATCTTTGACTGGAACAATTACTAGTACAATTAAGTCGTACACTTGCATGCAGCGTACGAGGCAAACGAGGCTTACACAGGTAAATTTTACACGTATTCCGTTCCGTACAGCCTAATAGTAATTCCGTTATCAATCCTCATAAGAATAGAATAGAAGTGTCGGCACTGAAGAAATAGGCCCATGGCCTGTTGCCGATTCTTGAACTTTTCGTGACTTGATTCACAAGGGATCCGGCCTTTGGAACCCGATCTTTCCATAACTGACGATTGATTGAGATAGCTGCTGGACTTATTGCCTGGTCCGTAATTTGCTAGGCATTTTAAGACTGAACATATGCTCGTGCATTATTTTAAATTCATGCGAACACACAAGATAAGCTCGAGACAAAACGAGGGATGCACATTACACACCTGTGTACCTCAACACACAGGCACACACATTTGTATCGCAATAATTGATATCACAATTACGAACGTACAGTGAAAAAAAGGGTTATAGACACGGCCCCTTCCTCCCAGAACTCTGCCCTGCTACATCCTGCGTCCTTATGTCAAGTTTAGGATGCCTCGTCAATGGTCACGCTGATATGCCACCTTAATTATTCACCGTCCCCAAGCCATCCATAGGCAGGTCGACCTGCCACCGAGGCCGGGCAATTAAAATTAAACCTAATTATTGAAACTCCGGAGATGCAGGGGCACTACCGTGCATATGCATTTGTCCACAGTTGGGTCAGCTGATGACCTCGTTTGGGCACGCTGACGTAAAATTATATTGCTTGTTCCTTGCCGAGGGTAACGGGACATAGACGGACGATCTATAGGATCGTGATAAAAACTTATTTAGTCGTCGCTTGAATGCGTTCGTCTTTAGTCTTGTTATCCATCCATGTACGCACCACAACCTCCATCGCAACCAAGGAACCCAACACCTGCGCTGGACGGCACACGAAATATTAAAGAAAGCAAAAGCAGCGCGGCTTATGAGAGCGCCGGCGTCGGGTTACGGTGGCACTATCGCTGGCAACACCGCCACTAGCGCGGCACTAGCGCTGGCAACACCGCCACTAGCGCGGCACTAGCGCTGGCAACACCGCCACTAGCGCGGCACTNTGTACGGTCTGTACCAGTAAAGGCGCTGAACTGTACACCGTGTACAGGAGCTGACTGTACCAGTACGGCAGTACATACGCTGGACTGTACACCGTGTACAGGAGCTGACTGTACCATGTACGGCAGTACATGCGCTGGATTGTACACCGTGTACATGCGCTGACTGTACCATGTACGGCAGTACATGCGCTGGATTGTACACCGTGTACATGCGCTGACTGTACCATGTACGGCAGTACATGCGCTGGATTGTACACCGTGTACATGCGCTGACTGTACCATGTACGGCAGTACATGCGCTGGATTGTACACCGTGTACATGCGCTGACTGTACCATGTACGGCAGTACATGCGCTGGATTGTACACCGTGTACATGCGCTGACTGTACCATGTACGGCAGTACATGCGCTGGATTGTACACCGTGTACATGCGCTGACTGTACCATGTACGGCAGTACATGCGCTGGACTGTACACCGTGTACAGGCGCTGACTGTACCAGTACAGGCGCTGACTGTACAGGTGCGCTATGGCGTCGCCGCCGCGACTTTAAAGGAAAAGCGAAGCAGACCCTCCCACGTGGTGGTGGTGGTGGTGGTGGTGGCGGTGGTAGGGGGTGGTGGTAGGGGTGTCGTGGTGGTAGTAGGGAGGTGTGGTGGTGGTGGTGGTAATATAGGGGTGGTAGAAGGGTGTGGTGGTGAAGTTTCGGTGGTGGTGGTGAGGATGGTAGTAGAAGGGGTGGTAGAAAGGTTTTGGTGAAGTGGTGGTGGTGGTGGTAGGGGTGTGGTGTTAGTATGGGGGTGGTAGAAGAGTGTGGTGGTAAAGTTTCGGTGGTATGGGAGTGTGGTGGTGACTGGTGAGGTGGTGGTGTAGGGATGGGTGGTTGTAGAGGTGTGTGGTGGTGAAGTTTTGGTAGTCGTAGAGGAGTGAGGTGGTGGTGGTACAGGGGTGTGGTGGTAAAAATTTAATGGTGGGGTGGTGTCCATCCGCGTTTGGTGTTGCAGTGGTTAAAAAGTAACAAATTTGCTCGGTTTTCTCAGGTAAACAGGTTAGTAATCCGAGCAGAATTTCAGGTTAACAAGACCAGAGTTGTCGCAGTGTTCCTAACCCAACTCATCCAACCATTTTCATCTTGCAAAAAAAGGCCCAAAATCCGAACAAAATGTAATACAAAGTCGATATTATACGGCAATAATCGGAGACAAATAATTCCTGGTCCAAGATAATGATTAATAGAGTGAGTAATGATACATAGAAAGTGCCTGATTATTGATACATAGAGAGTGATTAATGATACATAGATAGTGATTAATGATATATGGAGAGTGATTAATTATACATAGAGAGCGACTAATGATACATAGAATGATTAATGATACATAGATAGTGATTAATGATACGTAGAGAGTGATTAATGATACATAGAGTGATTAATGATGCATAGAGAGTGAATAATGATTCATGGAGAGTATTTAATGATACATAGAGAGTGATTAATGATATACCTAGAGTGAGTGATTAATGATACATAGTGAGTGATTAATGCATTTTATTACTCCCAGTTCGCGGAAATTAATAACGAAACATAAGAAAGTAACTATTTTAGGATAAAGTTTTATATTTGAACCATAAATGAGTAGCGAATTTTAAAGTTGCATTCCGGATATTGAATTAACGTAAATAATTAATGAGACGGTAGTGATACGAGACAAAAAAGAAAGGTGATCACAATGCGCAGATTAACGATTAACAAATTTAACTCTTGAAAATAATTATTAAATGGAAGATTACCACATTCCGGGACATTTAACTGAAAAAAATACAAAGATATTACTATACAATTGACTGTGACTGTCTGCCTTAACAGGAATATTTATATATTACTATATCATATAGTAATATATTATATTAATAATATATATTATTATTAATATAATAATATATTAATATTACTATAGGCATGATACAGGCGATTAAGGTCGTGTTTCAGCCGTGATTACGACCAATTCCCGACCACGGTTAGCTGCGGTCAATGCACGGCCGGAAATTCATTCATATTTATGGTAGTTATAGGTTTTATGGTAGGTATAGGTTTATTTATGGTAGTTAGTATAGGTTGGCAGAATTTCTTCTTTCAAGCAGGTTTCATTGAAGACCAGAGAATTTGTTTTATTCGCAATTTTCTTATTAGTTTTTTCAATATATCGAACAATATTTTTAGTTTGAACTGGCAAATCGAAAATCAGGTTACCGATGGACATTTTTATTTCGTTAACGACGTTTCGAATGTTTCTATCATTCCTGTCTCTTATACACATCTAGATGTGTATAAGAGACAGCATGATGCTCGCCTCACAACACGATGCTCGCCTCACAACACGATGCTCGCCTCACAACACGATGCTCGCCTCACAACACGATGCTCGCCTCACAACACGATGCTTGCCTCACAACACGATGCTCGCCTCACAACACGATGCTAGCCTCACAACACGATGCTCGCCTCACAACACGATGCTCGCCTCACAACACGATGCTCGCCTCATTACGAAATGTTCTCACAACGAAATGCCCGCCTCACTATGGAATGTTCTCCTCACTACGAAATGCCTCACGAGCCTCTCATTATGAGGCTGCAATTAGAGGCAGGAAGCGCAGCGGTTGCCGTACAGTCGTCAGCAAAAACAACGAAATTGTGAAAAACAATTTCGTTGTTTTTTACAAAACAAAAACAAACAAAAAAAACAACGAGAAGTGAAAACCCGCGGCCCGGAAAACCCTGCGGGGTCACGAACCCTACACGTGCTGCCGGAAGCAGGGGGTTGAACCCATGATACGGCAGCAGTAGAGGGGTTGAATTGACGATATACTGCAGCAGTGGAGGGTTGAATTGACGATACTGCAGCAGTGGGGGGTTGAATTGACGATACTGCAGCAGTGGAGGGTTGAATTGACGATACTGCAGCAGTGGGGGGTTGAATTGACGATACTGCAGCAGTGGAGGGTTGAATTGACGATACTGCAGCAGTGGGGGGTTGAATTGACGATACTGCAGCAGTGGGTGGTTGAATTGACGATACTGCAGCAGTGGAGGGTTGGATTGACGATACTGCAGCAGTGGGGGGTTGAACCTATGATACTGCAGCAGTGGAGGGTTGAACCCATGATACTGCAGCAGTGGGGGGTTGAATTGACGATACTGCAGCAGTGGGGGGTTGAATTTACTATACTGTTGAAGATTTGGTTGAGATACCGTGGCTGTGCGGTTGGAATGACAGTGCAACAAGAGTGCGGGTAGAATTAGCTATAAAGCAGCCGGGTGGGCAATAATTACGTAGTGGAGAACAAAGAAATTGCTTCTCGGGGAACCAAAACTCGAGGCAATCGGCGGCTGAAATTGCAATAACGGAATCACGAAAAAAAATTGCTAAGGAAAATTAAATAATTGAGGTCTCGAGTGTAGTAATTTTGCTGTAAGCTGAAGTCTTAATTTGGAATTGAGCATCGAGCTCAATTCCAAATGAAACGAAAGGTTGAAGTATAACTGATAGCGGGGACTGAAGTACAAATATTATCAAATGCTGATGTCTTCAATAATACCAAGGCAGAAGCTACCATAATTATACAAGGGTTTATAATCATACAGTTAGACCCAAGGGAAAATTTTACAATAAAAACAGGGTATGAAGTTGATAAATAATATTAAGAACTTAATGAACCTGGGAAGCATATCAACCGCTGATGTAAAAAAAATATACCAGCAGTAGCTTGAGATTAAAACAAATATCATAGCAAAACAATTCACCCTGAGCTTCAGAGCAAGCAGTCAAACCCAGAGTCTCAGCGGCTCTGAATTGCAGTGCTGCGATCATGGCTCAGATGGAGCTCTGTAACGAAGCTTTTTATATGTCAGAGAAATATGCTACGAAATATTTATAGACTATGGATGTTACGCAATATATAGCACACTATATACGGTCTACTATATATATGTTAATGAGTTAATGAGTGTACAGAAGCACGGCAGAGGGATGTGTTAATGAGTGTACACAAGCAGGGCAGAGGGATGTGTTAATGAGTGTACACAAGCAGGGCAGAGGGATGTGTTAATGAGTGTACACAAGCAGGGCAGAGGGATGTGTTAATGAGTGTACACAAGCAGGGCAGAGGGATGTGTTAATGAGTGTACACAAGCAGGGCAGAGGGATGTGTTAATGAGTGTACACAAGCAGGGCAGAGGGATGTGTTAATGAGTGTACACAAGCAGGGCAGAGGGATGTGTTAATGAGTGTACACAAGCAGGGCAGAGGGATGTGTTAATGAGTGTACACAAGCAGGGCAGAGGGATGTGTTAATGAGTGTACACAAGCAGGGCAGAGGGATGTGTTAATGAGTGTACACAAGCAGGGCAGAGGGATGTGTTAATGAGTGTACACAAGCAGGGCAGAGGGATGTGTTAATGAGTGTACACAAGCAGGGCAGAGGGATGTGTTAATGAGTGTACACAAGCAGGGCAGAGGGATGTGTTAATNACCAGACAGTGGGGGAAACTATTCTGTCTTTTCCCACAGTCTTAGTACCGTCAGCCGGCGACGGGCGACCAGACAGTGGGGGAAACTATTCTGTCTTTTCCCACAGTCTTAGTACTGTCTCTTATACACATCTATACGCCGGTCAAGACAAGCGGTACGCCGGTCAATACAAGCGGTACGCCGGCCAAGACGAGCGATACGTCGGTCAAGACAACCGATACGTCGCAGTGATCCATCGACCAAGACCAGCGATACGTCGGCCAAGACGAGCGGCACGGTGGTCAAGACAAGCGATACGTCGGTCAAGACGAGCGATACGTCGGTGCAGGATATCGCCGCGTCACGCAGCACGGTTGCTGTGGCTTCTGTGGCCGTTGCTGTGGTTGCCGGTGGCCGCTGCTGTGGTCCATTAATCACTGCAATATCCAAGCGTCCAAGAGATACTTTTAAACATTCTCTTAAAAATATTGTGCTTACTGGGCCACAGTTGTAGTTCGTCAACAGCTACTCTAGCTCGTCCAGTCGGCGATAAAAAATTTCAGTTGACAGATTCAGACGAGCGAGTGACACGACAGATAGTCAGTTGACAGATAGTCAGTTGACAGATAGTCAGTTGACAGATAATCAGTTGACAGATAGTCAGTTGACAGATAGTCAGTTGACAGATAGTCAGTTGACAGATAGTCAGTTGACAGATTCAGACTAGCGATTGTCGGTTAATCAGACACGAGTAGTTGACAGCGAAAATCGAGCCGATATCAGCTGTCAGCAAGGGCTAATAACAGACAGGGAAGAGACAGCGTCTGTCAGCCACTGTCAGAAAGTTCAGGATCTTATAAAGCAATTCAGACGCAGCGGCGGATTTCCATGAATCATTCTGGTGAAAATACTAAAACAATTCAATGTAAAAAGGAACGAATTCAAAATATATGTAAACATGGCGCACTACACGCCAGTGCACACACGCAGGGTGTTACGGTAATAGCGCGTATTTACAGTAACATATTTATATTGCAGTAATGTAAATATTACAGTAACATTACTGTTATATTTACGGTAAAGCGCGTATTTACAGTAACTTATTTGTATTACAGTACTGTAAATATTACAGTAACATTACTACGGTATAATATTTACTACATAACTATGACAAGGTAAGTCCACAGGCACCTATACGGAGTTATATCGAATGTTTGCCGGCATAACATAAGCAGTAATTCGTCGTTATGACAACAACGCACTATATACTAGGTAAAATGTTCCCTAGTCTTCTATGACACGTCAAGAATCAGCGTGACTTTGTGTTTATATGAAGACAAAAAAAACATTACTTATCAAGTAATGTTTTTCAATCAAACAATCAAACATTACTTTATCAAACATTAATCAAACATTATCAAACATTAATTATCAATTATCAAACATTATCAAACATTAATTATCAAACAATTATC